CGCCTGAAAAACGGGTGGTGAGGCGAGTGGTAGAAGCTGCCTGTTAGGTTTGTCAGGTTCTGGCTCACGCTGGCCTCAGGCGGCATAAGGCTGGGAGCTGTCAAACTTGGCCGGGCCCAACCAGGCCAAGGAAAGTCAGGGAAAGCTTCCTGGAGGAAGAAGGACAGAAATAAGTCGGTGAGGACAGGAGTAGCCTGCGAGGTGTCCTGGCTCTATGCAAACTCAGGCAGAGCAGCCCTGGGGCCTCCAGGGTCAGGAGTGAGACACACACAAACACATTTATTCACTCAACGTATATTTATCGAGTGCCTACTGGATGGGCTAATGCTGGGGACACAGTGGTGACCAAGTCAAAAAAGGTCCCCACCCTAATAGAGCACAGTGGTAAAATAGAAAAACAAATGTGTAAATTAATACATAAGGTCATTTTGTAGTGCATGTTAAGAAAATAAAGGAGGGCAATGTGACAGGCTAGAGTGATCTGTGAGAGCAGAGGGGCTGACATGAGACAGGTGACCAGGGAGGCCACTCTGAGAAAGTGACTCGGGAGCCAGCCACAGGAGGCTCCGGGGAAGGGGTGTTCCAGGCAGAGCAAGTAGCAGTGCAAAGGCCCTGAGTCAGGAAGGGGTTGGGCTGGGTTCGAGGAAGCTGCAGGTATCTGGAGCACCAAGAACAAATGAAACAGTGGTTTGGGAAGAGAAGGGAGAAATGGGCAGGGCCAGAGGGTTTAGGGCCTGCAAGCCACGGGGAGATGCTTGGACTTTTGTTCCAAGTGTGGTGGGTGACCCTTGGAACGTTTTGAGAAGGGGAATGACATCCCTCACAGGTTTTCGGAATACCCTACTGGTTGCCATGTGGATGTAGAGAGCCCACTGAGAGGGGACAGTGACAGTGGCCTGGACCAGGGTGGTGGCACTGAAAGAATGAATGGACTAGGGATGCGTTTTAGGGGAGAAGAAATACATCCCCCCAAGGCTGCCTTCCTTCCCCTGAGAGAGAACTTCCTTTTCTGGTATCAGTCCCATTTGCAGTGAAGATCAATGTCTTCCCATCACTTTTCAAACAGAGTGGAATGGGTGGGCTTCCTGGAGGAGGTTTTAAGAGGCTACTTGGTGAGGGAGGAGCCAGAGGCCTCTATCCAGCATATGCTCCTCCCCTTGCTCCCCACCCCCATGTGCATGTCCCTCTGCAATTTACAAATGCTCAGGACAAGGAGGAAAATGAGGCTCAGAGAGGCAGAGAGAGTACCCAAGGCCACACAGCATCCAGGGCAGGGCTGCGCAGCTCCCACAAACTCAGCGTATTGCCCATCTTGCCTCTCTGACCCTCGTTGCAGGAGCTGTGATGTTGGGGAGGAGGGCAGAGTTGACCCCTTGTTAGAGAAAGTGAAACTGAGGTTCAGGGGAAACAGTCCTGGGCAGGGCTCTTTTAAGACCTCCACATGTATCAAGCACATTAAAATGCAGCTGTATCAAACATCAAACGTATATTCTATATAACCAGATAAAAGTCAAATTGCCGTTGACTGCCTAGTATCATGTTGTTTTGCAGACATTTAATGAAACATTTATTAATTTTGATTGTGCAGTTTTTCCCTGTGTTTTAGAGCCAATTTCTTTTTCCAGGCCTCAAACATTTTTCTAGGCCCCTAAAAGCCTTGCAGGCCCTTGGCAGTGAGCATGCAGCGTGGCTGGCAGGAGCAGCTGCAGATTTGGGTGCTCTTGCCAAAGCAGGCAGAGTATTGTTGAACCCCAGCCCTTTCAGCCCCAGACTACCATGGCGATCTTCCTACACTCCCCCACTGACCCCATGTTTGTGGGTCTCGGAGGCCTTCTGTCTTCCCCTCCCCCTCCCCTGCTCTGGCCCACTGTGGTCCTGGGCTGGGTGAGTCCTTTGTCTGTGGTTAGCGGGTGTGGGGCTTTGGGAGCTGGCAGAAGTGGGCGGGGAGGTGGGCAGGCAGCCTGTCAGGTGGTGATGGATGCTGGCTGGGCCGGGGCCTCCCTCATGCTGACCAGGGCCAGGAAACAGATGGTCTTCCAGCCTGAGAGAAACTTCCAGGGTGTCGCCCTCCCCCAGCTCCCCAGGCCCCTTCACGTTGGACCAGCTGGTCTCTCCTTCCTGTTCAAAGCCAGAGCCATGGGAATGGGGAAGGGAACTGGGTTGGGGGAAGATGCAGGCTGGGAACGGTGGTCTGTGTTCTGGGCCCTCAGGAGCTTGGGGGGCCATCTGGGTCTCCCCCTTAGTCCCCCCACCTCTGGCCATCTCCAGTTCTGTTCTCTGCCCCTCCTCTGTGCCCTGCCTTAGCTCAGCCCTGTCATTTCAGGCCTGGACCAAACTCCAGCCTCTCCTGGCTTTCCTCCAAGCCAGCCTCCAGAGCAAGCTTTCTGAGCCACTGAGCTTATCACATCACCCCTGATTCTGGGATAGAATTCAAATGCAGAATAAAATATGAACTCTCCAGTCCGGAATTTGATGCCCTTCATAATTCCAGTTTTCTTATATCCCTGTGCATGAAAACCCTACCCTCCGGGCCTGCAAACCACTGGCCATTCATTCTCCTAAAAGGCTGTGTTCCCTCATGCCTCTATGCTTTTGCTCAATGTTTGTTCCACCTGGAATGTCCTTGCACTTCCCGTGGGCCTGTCAACACCTACCCATGTTTCAAAACTGAGACCAAATGTTTCTTCCTCCAAGAAGTCTTCCCCAACCCCCCTCTGCCCCCCGTTAAAGTTACCCAGCTCTTCTCTGGATTCCACAGCATCTTAGGGCGTCTATTTCAGCTCTTACCTTGCCTCCCTCCCATGGAGGTGAGAGACACTTAAGGGCACAGGATGTGGCACAGAGTTAGTGGTCAGAATATATTTGCTAAGTAAATGAACGAGGCCGGCTGCAGGGAGCCTTTTGTGGGGCATAGGCAGGGGCCCAGAGAATGAAAGTTACGAGGAGACAAATTTCTGCTCACCAAAGAAACGCAATCTGTATGGAGCTGCTCAGGAGCAGCAGTCCCTGCCCCAGGAGGTGGGGGCTGCCTACCATGGAAGTACACAAGCAGAGAGTGTAAATGCCCGGGGCTGGGAACTGCTAAAGGCATTTCAGCATTGGGTGGGAGGGTTGGACTGAGGGACCAGGGATGGGGAGAAGAGCCCTGAATGGGACGTTTCCAGCCACATTTTCAGGAGAGAGTTTGGACCCCAGAACGTTCCCTCTGAAAGGATCTTCAGACTCATCAAACCCATCCCTCTTGTTGGCAAATGGAGAAACTGAGGCCCAGAGACAGTCATACCATTGCTGAGACCAGGATACTCACTGGGGAAACTGTGGGTCTGTCAGCTGACCCCAAATTCCAGGGAGCGCTGTGTTCCTCCCTTGGGCTGGCAATTCACCACGGAACGCCATTGGCCTGCAAACCACATTCTGATCATGCCAGCCCTTCGTATCTGGGAAGTCCCCACTTCCCCAGTTTGGGATGCCGGCACGGGGCACTGAATCGTTGGGATGTTCTCCCCTGGTTTCCGGGGAGATCTCTTCTAGAGGAACCCTCTTTGGTTTCAACAAAGGGCGTGCCTGCCCCATGAATCAGGGAATTTGGGGGTTGTGGGGCTAGTGTCTGTGACGGCAACAGCCAGGGGTGGAGCCGCTGGGCAAGGCACCAGGGCAGGGAGGGGCAGTCAGACCCAGAGATCTGTGTGGACAGGTCCCTTGTCACCCAGTGGACACAGCTCTTTACAGTTGCAAAGTATCTTCTCATCCATTACATCCTCGCAGCCACTTTGGCAGGGATTAACTAGGGCTCGGAGAGGGTCTTCTTGCTCAAGATTACACAGCAAAGTCAGAAATCGAACGCAAGAAGACATCAGGATCCCTTCCATGTCCCATACCGGGTTCTCGTGCAGTGAAACAAACTTTCAATTATTCACACATTCATTCATTCAGCCAACACACAGACTGAGTGAGCATTGACGGTGTGCTAAGAATTGAAGATGCAGCAGTTATCAAGCTGACCTAATCATTCTCACGGACTTCCCAGTCTTGGGGAGATAGATGCATAAGCAGGCAGTTACAGCCCACGGTGAAAAGTGCAGGGTTGGAGGGCAGCCTACACTCCAGGAGAAGTGTGGGAGGAGAAATCCCTACTCCGGGTGGAGGGTGGTCAGCGGAGGCTTCTGGTTGGAGTCACGTTTATAAACTGAGCCTTGGCGGCGGGGGAGCAAGAGTTATTTAGGTTGGGGGCTGGAGTGGAGTGTGGGACAGGACGGGTGAACAACTGTTGCAAAAGCCCGGTGGTGAGGGGGAGCACTGTGAGCTGGAATCTGGCCTGTGCAGAATAGCTGGGGACAGGGTTTGTTGGGAGAAGCGACATGAGAAGCAGCAGCAAAGCCTCAGATGCCAGGGGATCTCTAAGCAGCTTCTCGGTGCCCTGTGGGGAGAATGGGGCACTCAGAGATGGCATTGGGAACAGACCAGGAAGCTGCTGGTGGCAACAGAACTGGGGGCTGGCACCAGAAACTGCTCCTTGTGTGGGCGAAGTCTTTATGGCATATAGGGAGAGGCAGAGTTACTTAACGGTTAGAGGGGGAGCCCCGAAGCCAGGCTGTCTGGGTGTGAATGCTGGCTCCACTGCTTCCTAGCTGTGCGATCTCGGGTCTCGGTTTGCTCATCTATAAAATGGGGATTAAAAAATGACAGGGTGCCAGGAACCCTGTGAAGAAAGCAGGCCCCAAAGTGCCCGAGGAATAATGCTGATGAGAATGCTGCAGTAAGTAAGCACTTACTTTGCGTCACTGCTTTAAGCTTAGGAGCCCACTGGGAGCTCCCCAACAGTCCCAAGGAGTTCATTGATCCTTTCAAAATGCCCATTTTACATCTGTGGGAATAGGCTCAGTGCAGTCAGTGACTTGCCCGGGGCTACACATGTTTACCCTTGCCCTTTGCGCTTGCTGGGTGGCAAGGGGCGGGTTGGGAGTGGGTGCCTGAGCATGAGCACCGCGTCCCTCCGGCAGGTACCTGCGCACCATGTACCTGGGGCTGCAGAGCCGCTGGCGCGGGGAACGGCTCCGGCGCCACTTCTACTGGCGGATGCTGTTCGAGAGTGCCGACGTGAGCATGCTGCGCCTTCTGGAGACCTTCCTACGCAGCGCGCCGCAGCTCGTGCTACAGCTCAGCCTCCTGGTGCACCGCGGCGGCCGTCCGGACCTGCTGCCCGGTGAGCCCTGCTCCCTCCGCCCTTCCTGCCCGCTGCGCCCTCCTCGCTCCAGCAGCCCCCGACCCCCAACCAGAGCTCACTCACCTTCAGTATTAAATATTCTGACAGCCCCACGTGCCAATGCTCTGTGCTTCAAGTCCCCTGGGGATGGCCTGTGCACCCCCTTCCGCCTCCACGCTCACTGTCAAGGTTGTGCAGGCCTTGCCCCTTCTACTCTCACCACCCTCCAGGCCTCTCCAATGGCTGGGCCGCTTATCTCAGTGTTGGAAGAGACCTGGCCTCTCCACCGCTTGGCCTCCTCTCAGGCCCCTTTCAGCCCTTCCGCCCTTCCCTGTTATCAGGGCAGCCCAGACCCCACCCATTTCTGCCAAGTTGGAAGGGGCCCTTGACCCCATCACCACACCTCAGGCCCTCTCTGCGCCCTTCATTCTCCAAACTTCCCTGATCCCAGCCTGCATCTGCTGGGACTCCGTCCATCCACCCTCTCACTGCTCTTCAGCCCCTGGGAGCCCCTCCCAGGTCTGGCCGCGGCTCCATCACTCACCTCCACTTGCCCCTCCCCTCACTCCAACAGGCCAGGCAAACGCCTTTCATGTCAGAGAAAGGCCACCTCCTCTGTTTCCCGGGGCTCCCCATGCTCCTCCCACCCGCATTGCACCCAGCCCACCCTCAAAGTGCTGAAAGACTCTGTCACCACCTCTCAGGTACTGGGCCCCCATCGCCACCCTACATTTGCTTCCCATCCCCTCAGCTGTGCTCAGGTGCCCCGCCCTCTTCGCACTCCAATCTCATCCTGGTTACTGACAGCTTCTAACAGTCCCCTCCTGGCTCCTCCACATCCTAATTGTGACCCCTCCAACTCTTTACCTCCTTTTCCACTCCCAGAGTCCTACACCCCAATTTCCCACCTTTCCCCCCAGCCTCTGAATCCTAACGGTCCCCGACTAGCAACCTGGGCCTGACCCTATGGAGCCCCAAATCACCCACCTTACTTTCCCTTTGTGGTCCTACCCCTAAAGAAGTACTCAGCTCCATCCACTCCTCCCCCACATCATTGGTCTTGAAGACCACCCATAAGACCCTCCCCATACCCTGCCTGATTAACAGGCCCTTCCCTCACAGGCCTCGGAACCCAGCTCCTGACCCAGAACCCTCCCCTTTACCCAGCCCCCAACCCAGACCCACCCCTAACCCAGCCCGCCCCGCCCCCACCCTGTCTCCACAGCCCTCTCCACCTCCGCCTCACTCCTGTCCCTGGCCTGGACGCTGGCCTCCTACCAGAAGGTGCTACGGGACTCTCGAGACGACAAGCGGCCACTATCGTACAAGGGCGCAGTGGCCCAGGTGCTGTGGCACCTATTCACCATTGCGGCCCGCAGCCTGGCCTTCGCGCTCTTCGCCAGCGTCTACAAGCTCTACTTCGGCATCTTCATCGTGGCCCACTGGTGCATCATGACCTTCTGGGTCATCCAGGGTGAGACGGACTTCTGCATGTCCAAGTGGGAAGAGATCATTTACAACATGGTAGTGGGCATCATCTATATCTTCTGCTGGTTCAATGTCAAGGAGGGCCGCAGCCGCCGCCGCATGACCCTCTACTACTGCATTGTCTTGCTGGAGAATGCAGCACTCACGGGCTTCTGGTACTCAAGCCGCAACTTCTCCACCGACTTCCATTCACTCATCCTGGTCTGCGTGGTGGCCTCCAGCTTCGCATTGGGCATATTCTTCATGTGCGTCTATTACTGCCTCCTGCACCCCAATGGGCCCATGCTGGGTCCCCAGGCACCCGGCTGCATCTGCCCTGAGGCCTCAGAGCCCTGTGGCCCACCAGCCGATGCTGTCACAAGTCCCCCGAGGTCCCTGCCGAGGACTACAGGCGCGGAGCGGGATGGGGCCTCGGTGGGGGGCGAGCGTGCAGGGACCCCCACACCACCTGTCTTCCAGGTGCGGCCTGGCTTGCCTCCTACACCAGTAGCCCGCACCTTGCGGACAGAGGTGCCTGTCATTCGGATTGACCTGCCTCGTAAGAAGTACCCTGCGTGGGATGCTCATTTTATTGACCGCCGGCTCCGGAAGACCATTCTGGCGCTGGAGTATTCCTCGCCAGTCACACCCCGGTTGCAGTACCGGAGCACGGGGACCTCCCAGGAGCTGCTGGAGTATGAGACTACTGTGTAGGCCACAGTTTCCCCGCTACAGGGATGGGCCTGGCTCATCCCACATCGACCACAGTGTTGAGCCTGGAATTTCAGGGCCACCAGGCTATGGGGACGTGGGTCTGTTGGTACAAGGGTAGAGTGGCTCCACCATTGGGTTCTTTCAGGGGAGGGGCAGCCTGGTGGAGCCCCCAGCCCTAGGCTGTGTTTTAAGCCCTGCGGCCCAGTTTCTAAGCCCCCCTTGGACCAGGGCCCAGGGAATTAACTGGTGCTACATTCCTCATGAGCTGCCCTGCTTCCATGAAGGCCTCCATACCACCTCCGGTGCTGGGGACCCCACACCCCCCCGCCCGGAGTTGCCCCCGTGTCGCCTGTGGTGGACCTGTCAGAGAAGGGGCACTGTCTGGGGTCCAAGACCGAGGCCCTGTGCTCTTGAATGGGTGCTGGGGGGATGCCTCTGCGGTGGGAGGAGGTCTCTGAGGGCGAAGGAGGCTACAGAAGATGTGGGGTGAGGTGGGAGCGTCTGGTGAACAAAGTGGGGGCTGGTCCTGTGGGTCCAAGGTCTGGAGCCTGGGTCAGAAAGGAATTAAAGGAGGGAGTCAGGGTGGGGTGGGGAATTGGGGGTGGGGGCAGAGAGTACTAGAGCTGAAGGGGAGGAAGAATGCTGAGACATCTGAGGGGTCTAGGCCGGCTGAAACATGAAGGGTAGCAGATTTGGGGGAGGGGAACCCTTGGTCCAGAGCACACAGCGTATTCCCCAAGTGAGCTCCCCCAGAGACAGCCTCCGTCCGTGTGGGCTCTGTCGTGGTTGGGGCTCCAGACGCCTGCGGTGAGATGTTTCCAGAAGCCTTGCTTTGTTCTAGGTGAGCACCCAGAGCGTGTCTTGTAGAAAAAGGTCTTGAATGCAACAGATAAAATGTCTAGGAAGCTACTGTATCTGGGCTGGGTCATAGGTGATGTCCTAGCACACTTAGCAGAGGAACTTCTTAGAGAGACATTCCTAGTTCTGGACGAAGGCCTAGAACACTGTCCTAGGGAGTCGCTGATCCGGGCTCTGTCGTGAGGTGAGCGTGCTGGGTCCCCGCTGCTGTGCCCCGGGGGATTCCGGCCCCTGCCACTGTGGTGGTGGAGGGCCCTGAGGACCCCATGCGAGTGGGGTGTTCTAGGAACAGGTGCTCCAGTTCTAGGTTTCTGGGGTTCATAGGAGTCCCGTGCTCCTGTCCACCTTGGGCCATAGCCATCTTCCCACGAGGAAATCGTCCTTGGGAACCCCTGGCACATTCCAACCGCCATCTGGCTTCCAGATACAAAAAGTGAGCTCTGGGACATGATATAAATCTTGGCTCCGAGCCACCCTCTAGACGTGGCTGCCTTAGGCAGCAGCTGGGGAACTTTTGTTGTGCTCAGCCCTCCAGGACTTGTGGTCCTCTCCCATGTCCCAAAGACCCCGTGGTGCCCATGACATCATTCATCCAGGGCCCCTCTTCTCCATCTGGGACAGCCAGTCTTGGATAGAGTGGGGAGTGTGGGAGTAGGCAGTCTGTGGGGGGTGGGGGGCAAAGCCTCTAGGCAGAGCTTAGAAGACCCCCGTCTTGTCCCCACTCCCCCATGCCACCTAAGGTGCGTTCCCTGCAGGGGCACAACAGATGAAGTGAAGGCCACCTGCAGACCTGGGCTGGGGGTGAGGTGGATTGTGATAGTCCTAGACTATGCAAATTAGAGGAGCATTCAGCCCTCTCTGGGTCAGCCTCCCTGGGACCATAGATGGGAAACTGAGGCCCAGGGTGGCAGCTAGTTTCACAAGTTTCCAGGCTCCTGGCCGTTCCATCAGATAGTGATGGGTGATAGTGAGCAGGCCGAGGATGCAGGGAGGGGGCCACACTCAGGGTGCAGGGTGACCCCAAAGGCAGAGAATAGGACCACCTACGTTACACACACACATAGAAGCACACATCACACCTGTGACACAAGTCACCTCACGCCCCAGTACTTGCGCCAAGATGGTGTGTACATCCCTCCCCCACACACAAAGAATGCTTTCCCCTCCTTCCACTTCCCTGATCCCTAAGAAGCCTTAGGAACCTGGCCTCAAGGTGACAGGTGGTCGGGGAAGCCAGAGGGTGTCCCAGACCCTCCCGGTGGGTCCATCCAGCCCCCTTGATCTGCTCAAATCAGTCTTTGGAGACCAGCGCACACCTGTTGAAGCCCTTTGTGAGATGGCGAATGTGCACCTCGGACCCGGATCCACCTGTTTCCCCAGGGCCGACTGTGCTGGGAGTTTCCACCGCATCTTGTTTCACTTAAACTCTCCGCTGCTTGCAGCTTCCCTCTACAAGAAGTGTTCTCACCCATCTTACAGAGGAGGAAACGAGGCTCAAAGATGTGGCGTGAGTGCACCCTTGGCAAGTTGTTTTACTCCCCAGTGTCCTGGAATGGCCCCTCCGGCTGCCCCATTCTCCATCACCCTAAAAGGGAAAGTTCAAAAATACCTTTCCCGGGAGCTGGGAGTTCTTCCGGCTCCAGGAGACACCAGGGAACAGGGCTAAGACTGAGCGGCAGTGCTGAGGTGTGGCTTGAGGCTCTCAGAGAAGCCACGGCCACGTTTTTGGACCTTACTCCGTCCCCAGCCCCCTCATCTTGTCAACATCTTGTCAATCCCACAAACCTTCGCTCAGAACCTCCGCGTGCTAGGACATCGGAGCGGCAGAAATGGCCCCCGGAGAGGGCTGCGGGCACCTCCTCCTGCTTCTCACCCTCAGGAAAAAGTTCAGCCCCTTAAAAGCTCCCCACCCTCCATCCCTCCCAGGCCTGAGGTCCCTCTTCACCAGCTCATCCTCCACGTCATCTGGACCCTGCCAGTCCCCTTGTTTCACTGGGTTAGAGAAGTCGCTGTAGAAAAGGGCACCAGCCCATTTGAGCTGTTGTTTTGCGTTTGTTTCTGTGACGATCTACCTCAGCCAGTCTCTTCCCCACCAAAACTGGGTCCCCTGAATCCCTGGCTCCTCCTTCCCGTAGTATACCCCCTTCCCCAGCCTCGCTGCTCAGTAATCCCCAGAATCCCTACAGCGTCCTCACGTGACAGCAGGTTCCAGAACCACAGTCCCGTGGAGCCCTTGGGGTCCCCGGAGTCACCTGCCCTTTACTTCCACTGTAAAGGGGAAATGGAGGCCCGGAGAGGGCCGGGGGCTGCCCAGGATCACATGAAGTCAGTGCAGAGTCAGGCTTTTCCTGGAGCCGAGACACAGTTGGGTCTGTCTTAATTTTTCCAGGAGCAGAAGAGAACAGGACACTGGGTACCCAGAATGCCAGGCCCTGCTCTGCCCTCAGTATCTCCATCCCCAAGAGACCAGTGTCCCCATTCCCAGGACAGACTTCCGTCTTAGTTTTCCTGAACTGATCCCTCCTACCGACTGTGCTCCCCGAGCCTCTCCAGGCACCACACACTCCTCCTCATACCTCCACGCACTGATGCACCACGTGCCTTGTAATCGCCACCCCGGTTAAACAGCACAGACCTCCACCCCGCCCCGACAGGAAAGGCTTTTTGGTTCCCTCCTCTCATCTGCCCCATCCCCCAAATCTGCCTTTGCCCTAGCCAGCTCCCTGCTCTACTTGTGTCCCCCAGGGGTGTGTCACCCGTGAGAACTGGAGGAGGCAGAGGGCAGGGAAGGCAAGGCCTGGGGAATGTCCAGGTCTCAGGGTGAAGGTCAAGGCGGCTGGGCGTATCCAGGGAAGGTCTAGCCTGGCAGCCCCAGTGCCCTGCTCAGGGCCAGTGTTCCGCAGGTCCTCCCCTTGGAGCTCACCTGGGCTCGGAGTTGGCAGAAACCTCAGTGGGGGGAGGTTTTCCAGGGTAGGCTGCACATTCCAGTGCCTCCAGGGAGAGAAAATGAGAATGTGGCAAGAGAAAGTGTGTATCCCGCCTACAGGCACTGAAGTTCCAATTTTTGAAAAAGCCAGTGCTGGCCAAACTAAACACTCGATATTCGGGCCACGGGCCACCAGTTTGAAACCTCTGGTTCCAAACCAGAACATTCCGTGGAGCCCTACGGAGTCTGGACACCGCTCTGGGGAAGTTAAGGACAGAGGCCCTGGCTCCCTCTGAGACTTCTCCAGTCCAACCCTGAACCCTCACCACCCCGGCCACCTGAGGTTTGGCCCCACTGCCCTCTGAGTTGAAAAGGCAAGGGAGGTCAGGGAGTCCCCGGGTCCCTGATTTAGGGACCACCATCTGATAAGGGCTACAGACCCCTCCAGTGCCTGAGCGGGCTAGTTTAGGGGCTAGGTCTTCTCTAATGGGGGGGCCTCTGGTTGGATGAATCTGCGGTGGGTCGAGGGCAGTCCACGGGATGAGGCTGAAAGCCGAATCCATCTGCTCTCATCCTGTGCCAGGCCCCTGCCACCTTTGGCCCCTGCCTTGGGTCCAGGTACAGCTGGAGCTTGGGCCTGCAGGGGGCGGAGCTCTCGATTTCTGTACCAATGTGCTTTGTGATTCCATGAAAGGGACTGAGTGCCAAGCCACTAGGGCAGCAGTGGAGATGGGGCCAGAGTACCTCTTCCGACAGGAAAAAGGAACTGTATGTGCCCTTCTGTTTGGGGAGGAGCTAGGACATTTGTGGGTTCCTGGCTGCTTCAGGTAGAGGCAAGGGGAGGAAGAGCAAGGCATTGTAGAAGTGGGAGACGAAGGCTCCTTCTGGGATGGCCTGGTTCCTGGAAGCAGAAAATTCCCCAGGGAGAGAGGAGCGGTCCTCTGTGCCTGGCCCTCTTCACCCTTCCCTCCTCACTGCAAGGAGGGGGCTGCCCTCCCCCAGCAATCCTGGTCTTTATTCTATGCACAATCACTGTAAGGGCACCCCAGGCCAGGATGAAGGGGTGAGAGCCCTGAGGCACCTGCAATAATCCCAGAACGGAGGATAGCCTGAGACAAAAGGGGAAGAAAAAGGCACCAGACGGGACGCGGATATTCCTCCATCTCCCTCTGTCACCAAGTCTCAGACTCCCAGCCAGGCCAGCCTCCACTGGACCAGATCGTCAAACTTAGGGGGGCTCATAAACAAAAGCCCCCAACCCCTGGGTTTCCTGAACCAGTCATAAACAGCTGCAAGGGACTCGAACGATTCCCAGAGCCCCCTCTTATTATTTT